TAAGTGTCACATGGAAGAGCTTTCAAGTAAAGTAAGTTTTATAAATTAAATAAATATCTCACTCAATACACTAGTTTTTTTTTTAAAAAATAGACTCTTCCTTCAAATTTATGATCATGATAGATCCTTACTAAGTTTGTAACGTGGTGTTGATTCAAAGATAAGCTATGATACATAGATATTGATACCGTATCAATTGATACTTTATTTTTAAAAATATAGGATATGAACACATTTTGGATATGTACACATATATCTATAAAAAATCATAAAAAAAATTAAAAATATAATTTAATTAAGAAAATATATAAACTAGCATGCGGGCACATATATTCTTTTATAATAATACTAAGTAAATATAATTAATAGTTGTAATTCTATTCTATTTTTACCTAATGGCCTATCGCCTAGTCTTACTAATAGGTTAGTATCAACATTTATCCTCCTCGACTATCATCTAAAAAAAGAAAGATAACTTCTATATTTGGTTCCACTTCTAACTTGCTTAGGGTTTATAACTTTATACTCCCTCCGTTTTTATATATATAAAAAATTATATCATACAATTTTAAAAATTTAATTAATTATAATAATTTATTTGAAAATAAAAAAGTAGACTAAAGTGCCTTGTGTTAATTAACATAATAATACATTAATATTTCTCATTAATGTAAATTATGTGGAGTGATTTAGAAAATATGTAATAAATATTTACTGAAATGAGTGATTTTACTTATAAAAAATAAAAGTCAAAAGTGATAGTTTTTTAACAATAAAAAACAAAGGAAGTATATCATAAGATTACATGCATTCTCACATTTTATAATTAAAAAAATGTAATCTTTATTCTTTTATTACATCTAAAAATTATTATTTTAAGGAAAACCTATGAATAAAAAAAGATATTAGTAATAAAAATTTTAATATTGCAATCTTTAATAAAATTTAATTTCTTAAAATTTTGTTGAGGCAAGGTTTGAAACATTGATTTACAATTTAAAAATATTGAATATATATTAAGAATTAAAAATTTTTTAAATTAAAAAAATAATATTTTAATACTTTATGCATACATATCAAAAAAATATTGGTGAGCAATGATAGTCATAGCAGATAAAAGATTAGCAATTGGCTAACTATTTCATTTTTTATGTGGACTGTTTATATACATTGCATGTGAGATAGATATTTGGTGATGATGAACATGTATGAAATAGAGTCAGGTTGATGATGAATGTGCGTGGTAATATATGTAAGATTTGTGAAATTGAAAAAGTTGAAGGTCTGAATTCAAAGAACCCTGTGTTTGGTAGGATGCAGAAACAGGCAAGATTCCCTCATCGCACCACACGATGGATGTGATAGCCCTAGTTGGTGCGACGTCCATCGCAACGTCGTTTAATCATATCTTAATTAATTAATATATAACTAAATAATTCCCCCTTCCCCCTTCCCTCTCATCCATCCAATCCCTTTTCACGAGTTAAAAAAAAAAAAAGGATCAGAACCATTTCATGATAATAACAATTAACTGCTTAAGCACTTTACATCACAAAAAAGTAATGTCTCTTTGTATGTGCGTGCGTTTCTCCTTTTTTTGACGTGAATTCGACAAATTCATGCACGAGTGGCTAGAGATTTATTAGCTTTAACTTGCTTTTCGCTTTTGGGTTCGTCCAGTGAGGAAGACTCCTGAGCTTGTGAATGTTGGTAAAGCAAGAATGAATAAAATTTGATTAGAATTATTGGGTCGACAAGAATAAAAGGAGGATGCTGATTATTGATCTGATTAGTGTGTGTGTGTGTGAAAGAGAAAGAGAAATGGACACAACCATTTTTGTGGAGGGTCAAGCCTGTCGCCCACATCTATTAGGTTTGATCACATCACAATTGTCCCTGTCTTTGTTTTTGGAGACACTTATAAGGTAGTAATGCCGCCATTATTTGCCTTAATGAAAAAAATCCATCCTTTGTTTATTTGGGTGTCAATTTCTGTGGCAAAAGCTTTTGTTTTTCTTCCTTCTTAATTAACCCTTAGCTTTTTTTATATTTCATGGGGAATCATCGAGATGCTTTATATTTCAAGAGAATGTAATGTCAAGATGCGTAAAAGCTTTGAATTGAAAATGAATCATATACTATACGAACAATATCTTCTTATCTTTGATTGCTTTGTCATGATGAGAACAAACTTTTCCCGTGCGCTTTCAATTTCATACTGACATAATTGCTCAATCATTAATAAATTAACAAAGAGGATGCGTCGTTAAATAGACTTTCAACTCTTTTTCATTGGTTGGTAATCTCTTGCATATCATGCTTCCATTGGCTTAGGAATTCGTTATTGTTTTAGGAACTAATAATCAGGGTGCTTGAGCAATAAAGAACATTATTTGAATTAGGAATAGTTAGGATAATTAGAGAAATTAAAGGTGAAACGGTGGTTTGGTAATATGCTCAATATCTCCATGAATAGGGTTCTTAGAGACGTACGTAATTGGCGTCTTGTGAATCATATTACTATTTTCTGGTCTCTATTTCTTTTTACTTCCATCCCTGTTAGAAGAGCCAGGTTAATGTATGCGCGCGTGTATGAATATGAATTTTGGTCTTGATTTAGTATACATTTAGGAATATCAATTATGTCAAATTTAGGAATATATTTATATAGATGTAGTATTTTGGATCTTGATTTAACGAGAGGTGATGAAAGTCCATGTAGTGTGAATATTTTCTTTTCGTTTTTTTTTTTGTGTCCAGCTGAAAGCTAAATTAACGCCTTTGTTAAGTATAAATACATGTGTTGTGCACTTACAAAAGAGAATTGAACGGAGACAAGACTATATGATCCCTTTTCTTCTTTCCATATAGACACTTGAATATATATCCAAATAAAAAATATTATTGAAATGTCAAGTGTGAGTAAATTTAGTTCCGTGTGAGAAAAAAGTCTAATATTATATAGAATTAGCTAAGAGAGAGAGATAAGTAGAAAATTGTACAAGGCCAGCTACAGTGGACATTGGACAATTCCATTGGGAAAGAATTAACATTGATATTTAACCTTTTCGGAGCACGGAAGATTTGAAGATAATATATACATGGAGCTTGAGTTCTCATTGACTGGAAGATTTTGAATATGTCGTCGTCACACCATATTGACTAAAGGGTCATTCTTAAGGTCGGAGTCTTGAGAGATCCACAGGCATATCGATCGATAAATCCAACTGAACTGAGTTCGGTTTCACAAAAATGGGCTCAGCGTCGACCCCTAAAATATTTAACTTAAAAGACAAAAGAAAAAATAACACAAGAAAAAAAAAACATAGATATGGAAGAAAAAATTCCAAGCGATAAGCGTAATTGATTTCATTTCAGTTTTGGCAACACAACTAAATTTTGGGGCGACAATTTATGGATTTTGGTAGCTGTAAATGTAACTATCGTTTTGAAATGAGTGAACACGTACCCTGGTGCGGTCGTATTTCAATTCGTACAGTAAAAATAAATAATGAAATGATGCGGGGCCCATAGTGTTTAAGGAAAAGAAATATTTTTGTGTGTGGTCTATTGTTTTCGACGTCATGAAATTAAAATGATGTGTTCATGTGAGGGGGAAAAAAAATCCCAGATTGAAAGAAAGCTCTGAAACGCTTCTCATCCATGAACTATGAATGTGCGTCGCATGCCCATTCATTACACACTAGATTTGATTGCTTCTGTTGCATTAGTCTCAAGCCCACATACTTTTACCTTCCAAGAAAAACCCAAATATTAATCCAACTCTCCCCCAGTTTTTTTTTTACAAGACAAATTTTTTTAGGGTGATTTGTTTATATTTATAAGATAAATTACAAAATTTGAGTACTATTTATTTATTTATTTTCATATGCCCGTAGTGAATATGTGAAATAACTTGTTATAAATACTGCGTTTTTCATTTTCAAGCATTCAAGTTTAGCAAATAGAGTTAACAACAATACTTTATACTTTACCCACATATATACTGGTGTTCACGATGAGTTGATACTGGGTTTCAGAAAGCAGCATCAAAGCAAATTACTGGAGAGGGCAAAACGAAGGTAATCATATTCTGATACATTGGATTATATAGTTAAGAATGAAGACATTGGTCAACTTCTGGGCTAGGACTCATGCAGAAAGGCCCGCAATGAGAAAGAGATTGTAGCGGGCTTACATAATAACTTTCTATAACTTCACCAACACCAAGGAAGTTGTGAATCAAACGGATGGGAAAAACTTGTTGAGATTGAAAGGAAGAGAATAAAATTCCTCACTCCTCGTATCAGTCTTGTATGATCTGAATTTGTCCCACCAGTGCATCCCTCTGTCCTTCCGAGTCTGATTGTCCTTCTTGTGCAGTGTCACGTCCAAGAACAGTGCCAGCATACCAGCGACAAATGCTTCTGATGAGAATGGCACGTTGATCATGTCGTTGAACTGTCATTCAAAAGCAAAGATTTCATGAAGGAGGCAACACATAACCAACACAAACAGGAGGATTCTTAGAAGGCACACATCAAGCATGCCTGATATGTGCTTCTGTGTTTTTTGATGATCGATCTAGTCTCTATTTTGGTCATTGGATACATACCCATCTAGCATGAGAGTGGACAGGACCATAGCCCTTTAATGCTGTGTACTCATTGAAGTACTGAGGAACAGACAAGCCCATGAAAACAGAAAAACCCAAGATGAATTTAGTTCTGAAGCTGTTTAAGTTGCAAAACTGAAGGAAATCGAGGCCTGCAGAACCTGTGTTGTGGGAACAATAAAATGAAAGAAAGTAAAGAATTAATTTTTGAATGATGCCGCTATACGTGATGAGATGAAACCAGCTTCTTAAGTTGAGAAAACTTACCCACATAGGCAAAGAAAAGGCAGTACAAAGCTGCAATAATTGGTGCTGGGATTGAAGCAAAGACGGCTCCAAATTTTCCTGCACGGTAATCGTGTTTAGTACATATGTTTAACATGAAAGAGACAAATCATTGATTATAATAGAAACTCACCAAGTATTGAGAAAAAAATCATGAATCCAGCTGCTATTTGAGCCACCCTTCGGCTACCAACGCGTGTCAGAGCCAGAAGTCCAGCATTCTCCCTGGGAAAAGCCAATGAGAGTTTTCATAACAGTAAATAAACTGCCAAGAAATTGGTGTTCATAAGAAAACAGAGGTTTTGAGCTATAATCTTACACAGAAACTGATGATCCATTCCCGGTCCCAAAGATCCCAGATAACAAAATTCCCACTCCCTGAAGCCAAATAAAGTAACAATCAATCATGATGGACGAGAACAAAGACGCATGGATAACAGGATGTTTTAAAAAGCATTCATATCAGAGTCAGGGAGAAGTATTAATGGATTTGGAAATCCATTCTGTTTTGTTAATTAAGAGAAGTCAAATCATCTTAAAGGGGTAACTGCTCAAAATTCATAATTTCTATTACCTGCCAACCTACACCGCGGCTGAGAATTGAAGGTGGTATGGGAGTTGCACTCGCATACCTCGACGCAGCGATAAAAGCACCAGTGGACTGTTGAACAAGAAAAGAACTTGTGAGATACAAACAATAACGAAACACATTGAATGGACAATTTGCCCACTCCCAGTTTCTTATGATTAAACACATGTACATATATCGTTCACTAGCTAATCAGAGCAAAAGAAAAAAGCTCGCATGAAAATGAGCAAACCTCCACTAAAGCAACAAATACAGTAGCCATCATAGCAAAAGTTTCTCCAGCATCAAATGTAGGAGCCCCCCATTGAAAAGGATATGGGACTCTGATCCTGCATGAGATTTTAAGATTACCACAAGTTAAACCATGATTTTTCAACTAATCTAGGCTAAGTTTCAAGAGCCATGACCACTTTTCTGGAGATCATGCTATTAATATACTGCAAATTTGAGTTTTAAGATCACAAGATCCTCATTACCAAGGGGAACCACTGATAATTCCAGCACGATCAGTTCTGCATGTCATTTGAGTTCTAGGTGCTGCATTTTTATAGGCTCCTCCCACAGTGAGGAGATGAGCATAAACCCACACAATAGCCACTGAGAATATAACTGCAAACCGATCGAATATAGGCCTGTCTCCTTTCATTATATGAGGAATGTACTGCAAAAGCATACCACTATTTGTAAATTCCTTACGGAAGACAGAAAAACAAGGCAAGAATTGACTCCAGAATAAGAACCTCATGGTGGGTGTTTGTCACTAATGCTGCACCACCAAAGATTATTAGCATGAAGACAGTCATGAATTACCTGTGAAAATATTAAAAGCATGACGATTTCTGGCAGCCCAATCTCCACACATTTTGCAAGCTAAAATTCAAAATGCCATGATAAAAAAACATGAATAACACCAGATATAATCAAATATAGGAGGGTAGTATCATAGCAAGTGCTAAGAATTGTTGAAAACATACATACCACAGGAAAACCCAACTCATACAGGCCAAAGCCTGATAGAGCAACCAAGGGAACAGCAGAGAGAGGACTTAAGAACCTAAGGAAATAGAAACCAGATAAGTGACCAAGAGGCTGAAAACAAATATATAACTTCGAAAATATATATAATATGCGAATTCATTATTGAATGATAACATCTCTTGACAAGCATATGAAAGTAGAAGAATTGCTTAATTGCATAAGATAATCTGACAAAGGACATTGCCACAATATGTCTGCAAAACTCAGCAGGGAAAAAAAAACCAATGAAGGAGCTCAGGGTACAAAGGTTCAATCAACCTCACTATATTGCGCCAAAGACCACTGAAGCCAAGAACAATCTGGACGGTCGAAGCCACAATAAGAGCACCTTGTGTTGCTCTCATTATCTTCTCAAATTTCTGCATTTTTATCAGAAATCAGGTAAACAACGAGAATGATACAACATAAATGGTTTATAGTGAAAAACAAAAAGGTAATCCAACCAACCAACCAACCTCGTTAGGGTCCACAGTATCACTGTAGCGACCCGCTAGAATGATTGAAATGGTAGCAGGGACAAAGGTGTAGGATCCTCCAATAATCGCAGGCAGACGAGTCCCAAAAATTGTCTGGAATAATGTGTTTATGCCAGCCACGAACTGTAGAGTCTGAATCACTTTCGCTTTCTCTTCCTAATGAACCACATTTACAATTTCTATCAAAAATTGAAGAAGCACGCAATCGAACAAGATCAATAACCTCTTGATTTTTCAAGACTTACATTGCCTCCCCCCATTTGAGGAACTAAAGAAGAAGGTATCAGAACAGTCGTGCCCAGCATGACCAGGTAATGCTGGAAGCCCAGTAGAATAGCCTCCGCTTCAGTGACGAAAATTCCATACTCAATTCTCACGTTACCAAAAAAACCAGGTGGGTTTCCCCGAACGAAAGCAAGAAAGGAAGGAACATCATATTAGTAAAAATTGTTCTTACGCCAAGGAGGAGGACTTGTAAGGCAGTAAGAAACATGGGGAAGCTGTTCTTTCACTGGGTGTGGCTGAAGATCGTCCTGCTTTGGTAGTGGTGCCGCACCTCGTCCGGCCATTCTCCGTTACTTCACTAACCCCTAGCTTTCAGAACCCGGACAGAAGTAAAACAGGAATATTTTACAAACCCAGTCTGAGTTTTCCTTTTTTCAGTGAAGTACAGTATGATGATGATGATGAAAGTGAAGGTAATGATAAGAAAATGGTGTAGAAAACGAGAGAAGTCACACGAAATGAAAACTTTCGTCGGTTAGAGTCTTTGGGAAATTCAAACAAGAACGATAATAGTAGAGGGGGTTGCAGAGTGTGACGCCTTGTCTGTAACGTTATGCAATGCAGTAGTATTTACCCAAAGACCACTTGACCAAGAAAACATAAACATAAAAGTGAGTGTGAAGATGTGGAAAAAAGCAAAAGAAGCGAGCCTTCATTCTCCTAAAGCGAGAAAGGAACCAAAATCACTTGCGACTTGCGAGAATCTCTCAGTTTTCTATTTCTTTTCAATATTCTAATCCCAACTTTATTATTAAGTCCCTGCTTTTCTTCAACACGTAAAAGATAAAGCTAGCGCAAAAGTATCCTCACCTTGCCTTCGTTAACCTCAGATTTGTGATTTAACCAATGCTATCAGTTTTCAAACTCAAAACTTAAAAACCATGAACCCCACACACGCAGAGAGATTGAGCAATGAAGAAACAATAATTTCAGAATACAACTTTCACACAGCAGAAAGCCAGAAAGTTCATCATCTTCACCCCTTTTGGCCCCGAATACAATGCTACCTGCAAGAATGATCAAAGGCTCCTGTGTTTTTTTTACACCTTGACGGCCCTAAATTAACAGAACTTAAATGTGAATCAGGAAGAAGAGAGCCTGGTCCTTCATATGGTTGCAGACCTGTTTATTTATATGCTTGAGAAAAGATGACACCTCTCCAGCTCAAAATAATAATAAAAAAACTCCTTTAATGACTTTTTTTTAATTAATTCAATGGTTCTATTAATCACAGAAACATAAATTTCACAGAGCTTCCAAAATGGTCTCACACAATATTCATGTGATCTATGAAAAAAACAAAAAAAGCAGACACAGGCATCTGTACAACAATCATGACACTTCCATCTTGGGAGATTAAATTAGAGATCCTTGTTCATTCATTTGTTCAGTTTTATCAAGAGTAATTGATTAAGGAAGCCTATAACGTATTATTTCTGAGGCATGCACGCAGGCCTTGCTTTGTTTTGGAGGATGAATTTGCATTATAGATGGTCACTGAGCTGTCTTATTGACACTTGGCACTGCCAGCATGATCTGTAAATCTGGATTTTCTCTCTGTTCAGGTCCTCTACAGTCTGTAATTGCTTGCTCTGGTGAATTTCTGGCAAGTTTTATCCATCCGGGAGATTTTTTTTTTAAATATTATTCTTATACTTACCTCGTTCTTTATTTTTAATCACTCTTATCTATTTTTATATATTTTTTTCGTTCTTTCTATTTGCCTCCTCCTCTTCTTTTTTTAACGCTCCTCTAATGCCATTTCCCTCCCAGTCACATATTTTCGTTTTAAAAATGTGGTATTCCTTTTTATGCTTTTTAATTAGATCAAATCTTTAATCAAACAATTTTATAATTTTTTCCAGGTTAGCATTTTTTTTTTCTTAGTCATGTGATTGGTTTAACGGTATTAAGTCCACCTAAGAAAAATTTACATCATTTAGGATAGCTCATGGTCTCTGGATTATTTTTCAAAATAAAGATATGAGCATTTCAGATGGAACAAATAAATGTAATATAGAAGCACAAAAATAAATCATTGGGGCAAAAACTTGTACGTGTAGTATAAGGGGAGGGATCTTTCCATTTTTCTTATCATCATTTTTACTCCACTTCTTAATCATGACTATTGATCAAATTTATGACTAAAGCAAATTTATTTAATATAATATTATCAATAATTATGATTAAGAAGTAAAGATAAAATGATAACAAAAATAGAGACACTTCCCTTGATATATATTCCCTTTGATCTCATTTATGAAATACCTTTTAGAAGTAATTTTTAATCTAAAATATATGATATTTTGTAATAATTAAATTATTTTTTTAATTGTATCCCTTCTTGATTAGCGTGGATGTATTTAATGTAGTTGTATTATTATTTAAAATAAAAATAAAAATAAAAGTATACGTTACTTTTTTATGATATAAAAAAACTAACTTTTTTAATATATATAAAATAATTAAAAATATTTTATAATAAAGACAGGAGAAAGAAGATAGGCAATGTATGTGTTGGGCGGAGGGTGGGGGGACCCCTTTCCTGATGGAGAAGGGGTAGACATGATAGATTAGAAAATAGACAAGAGAAAATATTTATATCGAAACAAAAATTATCGGTATCAAACCTATAATTAAAATGACGAATTCATGACCCATCTTGATACGCGCACATTATATTTTAATTTTTGTGACATTGGATTCCTCTCTCTCTCTCTCTCTTGGTCTGAAGTTAACTAACTAACTATTTTACATAAATTAAAGAAATTAAGTGAATTGGTTATTTGTAAAAAAAAATGAGATAATTTTCCTTAAAAAAAAATCTCCCTTTAGTTATTTACATTGGAGACTATCAACATACAATTTATATATCTAAGAAAAATTATACATAGGTCTCATGAAATTAATTTATTTATAAATAAGTCTCATAAAATTCAAGAATCACAATTAGGCTTTTGAGACCTGAGTGTAATTTAAAATTGAGATAAAAATATAGTATTAACCCTATTAAAGATATACACATTACATTAGTCAAATAATTTACAACTCTTCATAAGTAATTTACAACTATAATTTCATATATTCAATAATTAAATTGATCAGTTTAATCATTGAATATGTGAAGTTATAATTATAAAAAATTAAAATTATTAATTATTAATTATTAATAAAATAATTATAAATAATTAATATTGAACTTTATTAGTGACACTCAAGGCTGCGTGAAGAAGTTTTAGGGCCTAAGATGAAATCATTTTGAGAGGCCTAGTGTAGTCAAATTTTTATTTGACATTTTTACCATTTTAAATGCCATAAAAATTTTTTAAAAAAAATCATAATTTCAGGTAAAAAGTAGTATAAACAGTAAAAGCGTAACAAATATACCTGAAGTGGCCGCCACGTTAAATCTATGATTAGTGCTTTTAGTTTTAATTTCAATTTCAATTAGATAGCAAGCTAAAAATTCCAATAAGCAAAATTATTTGGCAAAATACAACAAGTTTGAGTAGCATTGTAAAATTTTGTTTCGAAAAGAAAATGATGATGGTACCAATTGGATTGAAAGGGAGGGAGAAATGAGAATTGCTAGATGCTAATAAAGTGATCCTCGTCCATTCTATATATTGTGGCAGTATGTTAATGTTACCTCCCTGAATGGCTAATTGATATTGAGAAATGCGAATAATAGATACAGTAAAACGCATGACAATGGATTCTTAATGGAAAGATGTAATTAATAGCAACTCTTAACAAAAAATAATAATAATAATAATAGTAATGAACGGCATTATATAGCGTATAAGCAAATTTCTTTTAACCCTAAGGCAATTGCCTCATTTGCCTAGCAATAGACATGGCTTTGGTAATACATAATTATTTGATTATTAAATATGTAAAATTACAGTTATAAAAAATTAAAATTAAAATTATAAATTATTGATAAAATAGTTATAAATTAGTTATTTGATTGATGTAATGTATATTTAATAGGGCTATCATTATCTTTATAGTCTAATTTTAAATTACACTTAAGTATCAAAAGACCTGGCTGTGCTTTTATAATTTTACGGGATTTATTTATAAATAAATCTACTCTATAAGATGTATGCGTGATTTTCCCAAAAATCTACTTATAGGAATAATTTGGTAAAAATAAATGCAGGAGAAGAAAAAAGAGACAGAAGTCTTACATTTAACTTCAAAATAAATTTGAACTGGAAAATGAAAAAGGATAATGGAATAATGAAGAGTAATTAAAAATTAGTATAAACATTAGTATAGTATAAATGCATAATTAAGTAAAAATAGAAAATAAATAATAATTAGAATTGGATTTTGTTTACAATAATTCAAAAATGAAAATGAATTTATTTTTTTTGAAATAATCAATATTAATAATATTTAATAATAAAAAAGAGATTGAATTTCAATTTGGAATTACTTTCCTTTAGAGAAAATTCAGAGTCCATAAAAAATGTGAGTGTTATTTTCTTTGTATATCACAACATCTCTATCTTAAAATATGATACTTTCTCCGTTAAAAATATAAGATATGTTTTAAAAGATTAAATATTTAAAAATATAAGTATTTTGAGTCTTTTAAGATGTAATTTTTACTTTTTTTTAAAATGTCCCTATTGAATAGATTACTTTATAATTTTTAGGATAAAATACTTTATTAAATAGAGATAAATATAAAAAGATAGGATTAGTTTAAAAATAACTAATGACTTTATTATGAAGTAAAATTTAATTAAAAATACTTTATATTTTTTAAGGAGGGAGTATATGCTATAGGAAACAAACAAAACTGAACGGTTTAATTATAAATAATTATGGCTGATTTGATAATTAATCCCAATTTCAATGACAAATAATAATTTGGTAAATTTTTCACAAAAAATTATGAATCGCTATTATATTTATAAGTAAATAGCAGAATCTAATTTGGATGTGATGAGAATAAGTGGAAACTTTCTCTTGGTTTTTAAAAAATTACGTTTTTTAGAAGCATCCCTACTGCCTATTTTTAACAACTGATTTGATGTTTCCTAATATAAAATATTTTTTTAAAAATAATTTATTAATAAAATTTATTTAAAAGTTATCTCTTAGTATTTTACTCTTTATTTTTCTTTCTTTTTTTCTCTCTTAATAATAAAAAATATCTTTGAAAATTTATATTTTCTTATATAAAATAAGATTTTAAACTCTATTTAATTGATTTTAGAAAAAAATATACTCCCTTCGTTCAAAAATGTAAAGCATTCTTAATAGAATCTTACCCCCAATAAGATAATTACCTACTTTTTAATTAACCACATCTTTTCATATTTACCCTTATTGAATATCATATAATAAATATAAATTCGTTATTAATAGGGACATTTTAAAAAAAAAGTAATGATTATACTTTAAAAGACTACAAATGCCTTACATTTTTAACATTCAACTCTTTAAAAATATGCTTTATATTTTTTAATGAAAAGAGTAATTATTAGTCCCTATAATTTTATTGTATTTTGTTATTGATGTGCATTTTGATGTTTCAAGTCCACCTATTTTTTTGTTTTTTTGCAGATAATGTTAATTCCTCTGCTTTTAAATATTTACGGAGAGGCAACAATATTACACTAACTATTAAATTATTTGATATGTAACTAATAATTAATGAAAATGCTGACATGTTTAAATAAGAGAGTGTAAAATAAGTTATCGAGTATAAATATTTTTTATTTAATTTAAAAGTATAAAATATGAAAAATAAGAGTGTACAGTTGTAAATTTTAT